TATTACAGAATCTATTTTACGACTTTTTGAACTATACGCTGTTATATGTACCTAAAATATCGAGCCTGTATTCAGTGAAAAAGACCTAAAAGGATATCGTTTAGATAAACACAACTGGCACTTAACACGCACATAAAACTCAAAGGTGTTCTTCAAAAACATACTCTTTATGACAAGATTGCTTTCCCGACTTTAGCATTTGAAAGCGACCCTCTTTGGACACAAAACTGCTTTGTCGGTAACCCCTGTGCGGACCTTAGGGACCTCTGAAAACGCGTGTCACGTAAGTCGTATAAAATCAACTGAAGAAACGACTTCGGAATTAGTTCTATCTGAATAAGAATGCGCTGACGGACTAGACAGATGGTTGTGCTATAAAACGTCAATTCATTTTAAGGGTCAACGCACTCTAGCGCTAGGTACATAAAATGAACGTTTTTCTGAAGAATGAACCTGTAACTACAAAGAATCTCATAATTCTAAGAGCATCCCTCATGCCACCTAACATTAATTTAATATCATCCAGCTGGTGAACCGAGCCTGCTCATTTGTTCAATAGAGGTAGAATAGGCATTGTTAGTTTAAAAGCAACTCTCAAAAGAGGGATGAATTATCAATTTTGGAAAAATGAAACATATCTAGATCGATTTATCGCCCCTGGAAACCTGTACGATACTTACTTTTGTGAAAAGCGTCGGATACAATTTTTGCACATTGAAAGGTATTAAACAACGATGAACTGCTACAAAAAACGCTTTGCAACAAATACGTCCAGTTAGATGTGCGCCAGCCCTAAGATTATTCTGTTGATTTTGCACAAATCGGAGTCGGAGCGGTGTGCGACGAGTACTGCGGTCTTTATTTGTCTTTTTATAAGGATGAACGCTCTAGCTATATCTTTAACTCAAAGACAAACGATAAAATCCCCCTCATAAATAGCCGAGACAATCCTTGCAATGTTTAAGCTTAAACCTCGTTCTAGTACTGACCCAGATCTGACCACACTGTCAGCTAGGCACACTTATAGTTAAGCAAATATTTGCGAGAGAGTTTCTAGGGATTGGTATGCCTCGTGCGTAGATCATGAAACGTGACGCAACGCATGGTCATTTACAGTACAAACAAAGACATATATAGGCCACACAACATTGCTTTCAATTAACCAATACGTATGTGTACTGGCGTACTGATACTGATACATCTTGGTTCTTTAGGACTTGGATCCTGAAACCGGGAAATGTCCATGTTTTAAATTAACAGCAGAACCTGATTGACCAGCACTGCTCGGATATTTTTCGTTGTTGGTAGTTCTTGTTGAATCTATTTGTCACCCTCAGAACCCAGAAATTTTGTGGAAATCTTTGGAGCTGATTCCGAGGTGGCGGTAACTAATTTAAATTTATGCAATCTTTCTGTGTTAAATATTGAGTGAAGACAGAATATTTTCTTTGGGTTTGTGGGACCTCCGTCAAGGTACAGACTTCAAGACTAATTCCAGTTGCACTGGTGTTACTTCAACCAGAACACAGAATGCAAAGTGCATTCTGCAGCTTGTGACTGCAGTGAGGTTCTCTAGACGAGCATTTAATTAAGTTCTGCATCAAGTAAATTACACACAGTCGATGTGGTGCAATTGTATATAGTACGACGCAGAAGGTTCCGGGCTCGATTCTCGATAGGGCACTTAAAAAGTTGATATTTATTAATTTCTTCCCAGTCTGGTTAGGACACGGCAGGTAGAACCGCCTTATTGACCGAAAAGCAAGCCCGTCTGTCTCAGTTGCTGTCTATGATTGTCAAAGGCCTGCTTATTGAAGAGGGCGGTTGAAGATGACACCATGTTTCATCGGGTCATTAAATGGACGACTCGGTGTCCCACTCGAAAAAGAAGACTCCTTCTTGTGGGATAGGCGACGTTTTAATAGCTATGCGTCTATGTAAAACTGCTTTGATTTGATTGACGCTGGAAGTGTAGCAAGCTGAAGTAGCAGCGGGCTGGTCATATCTGTAGCACCGATGGACGGTGGAGTAAGTGGGTTCTCGGGTGGAGGTCTCGGCAAGCATAGTGTAGGGCGCCTTCCAGCTAGATAGATCAATGAGACTCGATGGCAAAAAATGGAGATCCTGTCTTGCGTCGTACGTTGAGGGAGGCCTAGGTCCAGGCAGTGGACAAGCAGGATTCGAATCCAGGGTTCTGTGACAAACTCACGTGCTCACTTATACTATCGTGTGTAACTCAATCCAGTCGGTAAAATTAGGGGCGGATATTATTGCAGATACTCTGTATTTTTAGTAAAAATATTTTTATCATGTAAGCGGTTGCGAAATAAAATGCAAATGAGGTGAAATGAAAACGTTATTTAAATCGTATTCAGTAACTGTTTTCAAAAGCTTTTTTTAATGTTTGTTTATTTTAAAACCGTTTTTAAAAGCTCTCCTCCATCAACTGTTGGCTGATGTAGAGAACTCTCTACGGTAGCTTTAAAACTTTGGTTTTAAAATGTTGTAGTTTGTCCTACATCCAAGGAAAGGCTGCAAAACTTTTGTGACTGGTGAGCTGTTTTCAGCGACGAAATACACGTCTGCATATAGTCTCAAAATAGAGAGTCCGCGCGCCGTCTCCCTAATTTGTGATGTAGTGATGTCACAAAAATTACGCAATTTGAATATAACATTGAATACTTTGATGATTTTAATGGTATAAGATTTAATTTCATTTGTCATATCCATCGTAAATTATTCCGCAACAAAACTATAGTAGTAACATGAAAACGTATAATATTTCGAACCGTCACAAAGCATTAAAAATGTTTTACATCTTATAATGCAAGTATGAAGTCTAAAAAGTTATCTTATCGCACTTACTTGTAGCTGTAAATTAACATTTGACTTACTTCTTCAATTAAACATCGTAAAATATCGGTATTTTGAAAACAACATCGTGGATTCTCCGCGCAATTAATTCTTCAAAAGAGTTTTGATACTAAAAGTTAATATATACCAGTACGAATAATGTTAGCTGTACAGCTACAAGAACCAATACAGAAATGAAAACATCCAGCCGTAGAAGCATCCAACCGTATTCTAGCTCGCAATCGTAAAAATACTGGCAACGGTCAATTGAAAAAGCTACTATCGTCCATATCGATAAATGCGGAGTCGATGTTACGTAGCTATAGTGGTTTCCAACTGGGTGACTGTGAAAACTACCCATACAGGGTGCAACGGACAGCTCTTCAAATACTGATACGGTGCATTAAGACCTTGCTGATCAATTTCTCATATGAAATTATTTTAGTAAATAAAAATAATTATTAATTAGAAAAAAAAATTGTAAACGAAGTAATCTGATTGTGGTTTTGTATGGGATTTAATTATTTTTGTTTCCTTACATAGGTAATTGATTAGAGGAAAGTTGATCAGTTTAATGGTCTGCATGTACCCTGTAATAGTATTCGCTGTCCCTTACATCCCAAATAGGGTCGTTCAACTGTGAATAAGTCGAGAACTCTGCTGGGAATTGGAACTAGGAATTATGCCACGAAAACTTTGCCGTCTACCTAAAAACAGTTGGTCAGTTCTACTGGGGATAGGTTCCGAAAAACCACACAAACTTTGGCTTGAATGTCTAAAAATAGCTGAATATTTACGTAGCTCTTCTTCTGTGTTCGTACTCGTACGTATATAAAAATGAAGTAAAATATTCAGCATAGAATTCTACAGAATGATCATTGGTCCTGCATGCCCTCGAGGCTTCTAGCTACATTCTCTGAATATGCAATGGAGCAGAAGTAATTTGCCAAGATCTCTATGTAGTTACAGAATTGTACTGCACTCAGCATTTAGTGATTTCACTAGTTTACCAATTCCAGATTACATGTCCCTTCTTTGGAAGAAAAAGGTGCTCGAATCTTTTAGTCATCATCCTTTTGTTTTTGCGACTTATAAAATCTGTCTGATAGGTACTTGGTATTGGCTAAACTTACGCCCATCGTCGCCTCCGCTCTCATCTTTTACCTATAAAACTTAATAGTATCTCATTCTTTCCGTGCGTATGTCCTATAAAAGAACACTTTCTTAGAGCCTTGGGCTTAAAATAAAAGCTACAAAAAGACCCAACATCATCATAGTAAGAATATTTGTGAGAGGAAGGAAAGTCATGAGTGAATAAATCTTTCTATAAGCAGCCATTTTTGCTTAACCGTGCAATGTTATAATCATATATTCACAACAGTTTATAACAACTCACATACGTTTAAGATTAGTCATGAAATTATAAATCGTATAAGGGATGTTATAGAAAATCTTTGATATCAAAATTAAATACTCTAGTATTCCACGACTTCTGCGGATGCGACCGTAAAAAAAACGTAGTTTCAAATTCTACTCTCTATACCTACTAGACTGCTGAGTTGCCTTACTGATCCCTCTATTTTTACTGTGCCATTTCTGAAAGTCGTAAAGACCAAGAGCAAGACACATTTGGCTTTGGATTGTGTACTGAATTCCTGATCAGGCAGAAAGTTGTCTTTAACTATAATCCTATAAGTATCTCAGAAAAGTTTGCTGCAATATTAGTTTCCGCTGGGATATACATTTCTAGTAGAACGATGACGTAGGCTAGCTGGTCTAATTAATAGGTACGTAGGTACCTAAGAAAGTTATTTATTGTTTTCCTTTTTGTTACAGGTAAAAATGTCCATCTCCGAGTTCAGACGGAAAAAACTCTTGTACGTCTTCAATGTATTCTTTGGTAAGTTCGTATTATAAAATTTATATTTGAATGCTTTTATTCAACCTACAGTTTATTCATAGTAAAAGGAACCAACCAACATTTATTGATAAGTAAAATGATACTGGTTTTTCATGTAAATACTAAGAATGACCAGTAAACTGTGAACCCTTGCGAATGCGTAAGTTGATGTGTTGACGATAGTCCTTAACAATATTAACTTTTTGGTTACAAAGTTAATACAAACGAAGCAAGCGGAAAAAATTAACGCCACCGATGGGATTCGAATCCACGTCTTCTGACAAGCCGAGTCAGACGTGTTGACCGCTACACCACGGAGGCACTAACCCAAGCGGCGAAATTGTGACCCACTTCTGTGAATTGTGATTTTTATCCGCCTGCTTCGTTTGTATTAACTTTGTAACCAAAAAGTTAATATCAATATCTAGAAAACACCAAGTGTTCTAATCTTGTGGAAAAATATCTACAAAATAGTAAACATTCCTTATCAAAAGTTTTATAATGTGTTTTTTTTGCAGACGTCAACCAAAGCGGTACAATAGAGAGGAAAGACTTCGAGCTCGCCATAGAGGTAATAGAGAACACTTATATTTTATTAAATTTTAAGGCTTCTTAACAAACATACATAAATAGTTCATATTATATTATAGCTGCCCGTCAGCGGTTTCACCCGCTGCAACCTATTATTTCGCGGGATAAAAGCATTATTCGCCAAGAGATGTCGCTGTTAGTTTTCGGCGAAAACGTTTAAAACGCGAATCGGCTCAGTCACGCCACCTATTTCAAAAATATTGGAAAATGCGTGATCCCGTGGGAATGAGACATTTTTCCGTGGTAAAAAGTATCCTATGTGTTATTCCAGATGCCCTTTTATATTTCTGCAAAGTTTCATGTCAATCTAATCAGCCGTTTTTGCGTGATGTCGTAACAAACACACACACAAACATCCGCCTTTATAATATTAGTAGGATGCTCTGGTTTAGCTTGTCATATCCTATACTGGGTTATCTTTTAGTCAGAGCGCAAACTTTGCAGGGTGTTTCTACTCGTGATTATGATCAATTTTTACTATGGGACCAAATGCGCATTCGCACAAAAAATTTGGATGTTCCATAGAAAAACTCATACCTACTCGGCAAAAATGTATGGAACATCTAAAATTTTTCTTAATTTTCAGGTGGCCCCATAGCAAAAGTTCTTCAGAATCAAGAGTAGTAACATACTGCAAAGTTTGCGCACTGTCTAAAAATTAACCCTGTATTATGTAAAACTCCTTTAATAATTTTGTGTCGTTGTATCAATCATTCTCAGTAGTTCCATTAAATTACTCTAGTATTTATTTATACATAATGCATGCGAGTCTCGATCCATAAGGTCGGTGGATAATATTTCACATCAATATATTTGTCAGCTAATGTCATGATAATGAGTCGTTTCGTAAACAAACCAAACGAATCATTTATCACAACACTACCCAACTACCCATTAAACTAATGTAATGCTACACGTCACCTGCAATTAACAACATAGTTTGTCATAGCGATATTAGCGATATATTGCTATTTGTTACTAAGTTGTTACTTGGGATAGCGCAAGTTGTAACTGTCTTCGCAAACTCTTATTAGGTGACATGTTTGTCATCTAACTGGCGGGAAACTTGTTTGGGCGAAATTGGCTGGATATTTCTAACAAAAACTTGCTAAAGTCTATTCAGCAGAACGAGACGACGTCTGGCGCAGTGGTAATGCGACTGCCTGTTCCAGGTTCGATTTTCGGAGAGACACTAACAAAGTCGATATTTATAATTTCGTGAATTTGTTCTCAGTCTAGGACATTTCAGGCGAAACCACCTGATTTTCCGAAAAAAAAATATTGTTTCGTGCTTCGGAGGGCACGTTAAGCCGTCGGTCTCGGATGATATCTTTGATTACTTAGACGGCGTTCGTTTAACTACCATACTAACTCATTTCGCAATAGACTTTGAAAATAATGCTGAATATATTACTGAGAGTGCCCCAGCCCATGAACAACTTTTTTTCGTCAAAGAACTAATTTATTTAAAAAATTGACCCACACTGACTTCCCATACAAACAGGCCTTGTAATTTCGACCCAAAATAAATTCTCTTCTCTGCCTTCCATTTAAGATTCAGTCAGTTTCAGCTCAGCAGTTACAGTGGTTTATTTAGACTTATCAAGAGGCTAGTGCTCCAAGTTCTAGAACTCAAACTTGTTTGATCTAGAATCTAGACTCTATTTGAGTTGCCCTAATTAAACCCTAGGCAGCCCTAGGTCTTGAAATTAGTTACCGACCTAGTTTGACTGCAATCAGACTACATTGAAAGGGATTCCTATTTCTATGACGTAAATTTTAAGTATTTTTTGGTAAATTTTATTCCACCAAAACATTTTTATGCTAAACGTCACCAACTATCAACTACTAACATCAAAACATCGGATGATCTTGCGGTGCATAATTATAATAACCGTCTTATGTTTGATATTTGAGCCTTAATCGTGCCCTCTTGTATAAAGCTAGTAAGTTTCTTCCAAGTTTTTACTTCAGCACCTTTCTATGAAGAGAAACTAGATAATAAACAACAATTAAACTCTACAAGCTCTTGGTCTACAAGAGTCTACGAGAAGCTACGAGCTTTCGTAGACCTTTACAGCGTAGCTCTTTTCTTACTTGCTACTGAAGTTTCTTATCAGAACTTAATTATTTGGGTAGAGGTTTATTAAAGTTATGAAAATTGTGGTTACAACTTTATACTTATAGGGATCGAAACTGACTGGCGTATAGTGCAGTCGCTTTTATTTTTTTGGGATTTGGATTTTAGTTTGGTTTTAGGGAAAATAGTCTGATTCTGCATCAGTGCATGTGATGTTTGCATAATTATTTTGCTATCCAAAATAAATGATGTCATATTTATCTACAGGTTTTAGAATTGAATTCGGATAGTGAAATAATTATGCACATTATATTAACGTACCTCGTAGCTAAGGTATATTTCAACAATAGTCAGTATATTTTATATTCTGTTTTTTTTGCATTTAGAAAATCTGCCACCTCCGGGGCTGGAAGCCTGGCGACCCGAAGCACGCGGAGACCCACGAGATCATGATCAGCGTCTGGGACGGGCTGCGGAAGAGGGCCGACTCCAACAAGGACGGACAGGTAACAGTTTGTACTACTTCAGCATAAATCTGCCACTTGCGGGATGGAAGCCTGGCGACCCGAAGCACGCGGAGACCCACGAGATCATGATCAGCGTCTGGGACGGGCTGAGGAAGAGGGCCGACTCCAACAAGGATGGACAGGTAACAGTTTATACTACTTCATCACCATTTACAGCCAATATCCATACAATATACTCATAGGGTAGGTATATAGGTGATATCTCATTTTTTCACGTCCCTGTGGCAGCCTCTTCTAAAGGCAAGCATATGGCGTTATATATATTTCCTCGGGTAAAACTAAGATGAAGATGATATAATTGCCGACGTAGAAACGCCAGGCATACTCTCATTCTCACTATAATACAGACATCATCATGGAATAGAATTAAGCTTTTTGTAGTGGAATTTACGAAGCCTGCGCCTTTCTTGCGAGACTTATCAACAGGAAAACCCATACACCGTTAAATCTCGTACCACTTCAGACCTTTGAGTAGAAACTTCAAACTATCCCTTACGTAATAATACTGATAGAAAACAGTGTCTTACTTACGTAATAATACTGACAAAAACCAGTTTCTGAATGCCTTTCAAACTTTTATCAGACTTAAATGGCCGTTCTTACGGCCGTTTACTCTCTGCCTACCCCGCAAGGGATATAAGCGTGATATATGTATGTAAACAGTGTCAGCAGGAAGGAACCTACTTGAATATGTAAACAGTAGTCTAAATAAATACACACACGACCTTTGCCAAAACGAGTTCTCCGGTCGGGAGCTAAATTGGCACCGATCAAAATAAGTTGCCCTGAATTTCAGTTCCAAAGCTGGTTTAAACTATTCCGGAAGTTGATGTTTATTTGAACTAAATATACCGACATGATACATGAGCTACTTTTGTGACTAATGTAAATGAATAAAAAAAAATTAGGTAACAATGGCCCATGAAATTGAACAATACGCTTTATAAAATCGAGTAGGCACCTACGCTAATAAGTAAGAACCGTCTACTGTTTAGTTAGAATTTCTTATGTAACTATCTAGATACAGATATACAGGGTGTAAGGGACAGGTCTCCGAATACTGAAAGGGTGCATTCAGACCATGAAACTGAACAACTTCCTATAGAAATAAATTTCAGGAAACGTAAAAAATTTTTGACTTCCCATAGTAAATTGAATCAGCTGATCGTGATTTTGTATGGGAAGTCGAAAAAATTTTTTCGTTTCCTGAAGTTTATTTCTATTGCAAGTTGTTCAATTTCATGGTCTGAATGCACCCTATCAGTATTCGGAGACCTGTCCCTTACACCCCGTATAAAATCCCTAAAACTAGAATAAGACGTGTTATCGTTGAGTCCATAACAATCGAGAAGAATTTCATAACACTCTTGATGAAAACATAAACTTTCATAATAAAGCCTGCTCTGACCTTTTCTGTGCCATATACAGTTTATTGCGTCATACGGTCGTATTAATAAATAAAAATTATCACATCCAGCCTAAACTCAAAAAATACTACTCGATATAGGACCTAAACGTATTCATGTTTCTCGCAAACAAAGCATTTTCAGCCTAAAAGGTTATTTTAGTCTGAGTTTAAATCGTATGTGCTTAAAGCTAACTCATATGCCTCACAAAGCCCGTATGAAAAATGTCAAAAAGCTCCTAACCGTGTTTAATTACTTGGCGCTTTTTTACGCCGCTTTTTTACTCATTGTTAGGAATAAATTGACGAGGCGGGCGCTTTATTAAAATTTTTGCCGACTAATTTGGTAAGCCTACATGCTTTTTTTATTAGGGCGGGTAACAAAGTAACAAAAGACAAATTTTGGACTTACTTTTACATGGTGAACATACTGTTGGACGGCTCTTTTGAATTTAGGTAAGGGCAACATTTGCTCTCCCATTTACATCCTATATAGGTAAATTATCGGCTTTGGGATTATAAAATATTGATACAATTTGTCTATAGTCTAAAAACATTCGTTTCATGCCAAGTCAGATACGTATCGCACTTCAATATCGCTTTTTGTGTTATATTGTAATAGGTATTGAAGCACAACTCTGAAAAGAAACGAGGGGTAGTTCCGTTATAGTCGACTTATAGTTGATTGTTAAGAAAAGTTACTTGTCTTGTCTAGTTC